TTTTTGGATGATAAACATTTGTATCAGGTCAACAAAACATGGGCACAGTAACACTATTTTTATACTACATTTATCCATTTTAAATATACTAACCTCAGTCCTTTGTAACAACTAAGACAAAAATGTAATTAATTCAGAAAAACTTTTCAGGACCCCACCTTGATGTTTAGGGACCCCACTTTGGGTCCCGACCCCAACTTTAGGAAACACTGAGATAAACATTTAGTTTTAACAAAAAATTCTTACAAGTAAGAATTATTGCAGATCAGTACAAAGTTCTTCTGGGTTGGACCCTCTTCATCAGTAAATGGTGTCTCTGAAGCATTTTCACTCTTTAACTCATCACCTGAATATTTAATCTGAAAATGCTGCAGGTAAACAATAACATGACAAACAAGATCTATAATATCTATTTCTTGTCCTCCACAGGTCAGACAGCTCCTTCAGCTTCTTCTTCTTCTTCTTTGTGTTTTTTATGCAAGTGGCGGTCTACATTATCCAGTGTGTGGGGATTCCCTCCTGGGGAAACAGGTCAGTGGGGCTGAAGACAAACCTTTTTAGTTTCAAGGTGTGGCACAGGCAGGTGCTTATTTCAGCAGCAAGTCAATGTGTTCACCASTATTAATAGATTATTCAGCTGTGTTTTGATATGTATTTTCTTGTGTTTTGATTTATTTAAACCCTGAGAACTGATGATGTTTGGATATGATCTTTTTAAATGTCTGGAGTTTAATTGTTTGGATAAATAAGCTTCAGTTTGTCTAACGTCATTCTTTGTGTTTTGAGCTCCAGGGAATATTATGTGTGACTGTGTTACCTGTGTTTGACAGTGGCTGGATCTTGTCCATCTCTGTGATTGGTACAAACTTGGCAGTTGCAGTGATAATGATGGTAGTGGCTGGGTTTTTCACTGTAAACGCTGTGCTGGCTGTCATCCTGCTAAAAATGGTACGTTTATGTACAACACTTGTTGCATGTTTTCTACTCAGCAGGTATTTATTTGAATGTCAGGCAGTTACAWTGAACTTACTGTAAGGTGAGTGATTCTCTGTAAGGTACATATTTCTAACCAATGTTGGCCACAGCTAACCAAAACATTAGCTTTGCTAACTCATAATCCGATAACACTAAACTACTAAACATGTAAAAAGAAAAGCCAGCAAGATATCTGTCACTCAGTCTGTGTCATGTCTTCTGCTGAGGACTGGTGTACCTGTCAAACCTGTTAATGTATGTTTGATTCTATTGGTTGGTTTGAAGGTGGGCGGGGTCATCTGTGSCAATTCAGCYAATCTAAACCAGAGTTAAAGCCCTGCCTAACACAGATGGACACATGAAGATGAAAAGAAGRCAAATGAAATTCAAGTTTTTCAGGCAACATACACTATATTTACTATATAAAAATATTAGATCAAAAAGCCTTTGTGAAAACGCATAACTATAATGCCACAACTATATGGTGTAACTATGATAACTAGCTCTACTATTCTTTTTTTAAATAGGTTTAGTCTATACATACGCTATTTATACCTACCTACCTATTTCTACCTGTGCTAGTTAGCTGTTAGTGGACTAAAGTCGGTAAAACTCGGTTAAGCAGAAGGTAATTGGCCCACAAACAGTTTTCAAAGTTAGTGAACAAGCTAATCCACTAAAACAAAAATGAGTTCCTCTGTTATCAGAACCATGCCCACCATTGTTTCTAACTATCCCTGTTTTCAGTAAACTGTTTATTATTGGCAGTAAACTGAAAGACAGCAGATTAATATAATTAACTTAAAACCATGTCTTTTAAAAGGGCGATATTATGTGCTTTCCAAGACTGTATTTCAATTTTATACTAAAATAAAGTAACCATGTCACATTTTCAGCTTATGAAAGAGCTATATATTTGTAAAAATTCCCAAAACAATTTACTTCTCATCTTGACAGTTTCTAAATGCCTTGAAATAGGTCTCTGTCTCTTTAAGAAAATCCAACCACTTAGGTCATGCCCATTTCAGTACGTAGCCTGCCGGAGTCGCAGAGCAGGTGGGAGAGGGAGGGGGGTGCTCTGCCATGAGGAAGTTTGGCTTAAAGACACGCCCCAGGGGCGTTTCTGGTCCCAAAAAGGTGTTTCTGGTCCCCACCTGTCGTTTTGCTCCTCAGCATGGCTTCCTAAAAACGCTGCAGGATTTCTCAAACATGCATGAATGAGCAAGGCTTTGGGCATGTTTTTTTTTATGAGAGGATTACATAACATGATATAAAACTCAAAAAAGTTGATTTTACATGATATTGCCCCTTTAACATACACTGTCTTTCTGCCTCTAAAATATTGATTCCAACTTGCTGACAGTACATCATGATAAAAGTGGAAACAAATACATAAAAACTGAAAATTTTAATCAACATAGAAGGATCTGTTAAACAGTTTTAAGAGTATAATCAAACTTTTTCCAGACTTACAGCCTTCACTGTTCTATTTTCAGGTCCATGCCAAGTACAGGAGGACAGGAGCAAGCTTCACCAAGGCTCAGGAGGAGTTTTCCAAAGGAGTCCTGACCAATCGAACCTTCCAGAACGCTGCAGCTTCTGCTGCCACCACGGCTGCCCAGGGAGCCTTTGACCAGAACCAGAGAAGCTAGGCYGCCCGCACCTACATGGTGCCTCAGACAGCAGACCAAAACAGGCACTCAGAAATATGAAGTAGTCTAWAGGGACATGGGTTTGATTATTTTATGAACATTTGCCTAAGAGGAAATAACTTGTTACAAAAACAGGCATGAGAAGGTGTCACATTCTCCTCCACTAGAACAAAATTGTAATTGTGGGTAAACAAGAAGGCATATGACGCTTTAAACACCTCGTTATTATTATTATTATTATTATTATTATACTTTTAAACACTTTGTGTTTGTAACTTTTAGCAGACGTACTGAAGGAGACACATGATTAGAAACCATCCTTAGGGAGGTGGTTAATTATTTTTTAAAGTTTTCTAACAGGAGTGGATGCACGAACATCACACAGGAGCCTTTAGAATAAATACTGGATGCAAAGCTTGACTTGTATAAATTTTTTTTAAAAGAATCAACGCTTGTCGTGCAGAGCCTACAGAGTAGATATTGTTACACACTACAACAAACAGAGCCTTAAGAATCAAAGTGCATGCAGGGTCTGGTTTATATCAGATCTGCATGTGTGGGCCTACAGAGTGACGGGTGTGTCATTCTGACTTGAACTTAAAGCTGACCAAGTTTAATTTTATGTTTTGTTTTGAAGATTTGATGTTTTAGTTAGCATTAGCATGTGCAAGCTAATGAAGGTAATGGGATGAAGGTCCGTCTCTGCTCTGCTTTAACCAGCTGGGTTTGGGTGGAGCGTGTCTAAATGAAGGTGACAGTGGGAGGTTGTTACGTTTTATTCATGTTGAGTCGTGAAGGAGACTTTTTTTTCTGTTTTCACTGGTTACTAGTAAAACATTCAGATTTGATTAAGAGATGACGCGTTAATGAGCTGAAAGAACAATAATTGCACATGTTGAATAGTTACTATTTAATGGGTGTTTGGATTTTTGCTCATCGTTGCATGTAAATATCTAAGACAAATTTCTTTATTTTGTTATTGTAACACTGAATTAGACTGTTAAATCAGTGCCTTTTAAGCAGATATTGTTTTGTGTGTGTGTGGGAGTTATGATTCTTTAATCTCCATAATGAGCATTAAGTGTGTTGTACATACATGCTACATTATTTAAACTATTCACTGGATGGGTGTTGCTCTGAACTGGTTCTYAGTCTGAACAAGCAATAAACTGGTTTAAGTAAAGCCTTTAAGACTCTTTTATGCTGCTCTGACTGGRTGCTTAATCCACATTGATTTATGACAAGGATATGTTTATGAGCCAGTCGTACAGAAAGATAATATACTGTATGCTGGAAAGACTAAAGATCTGATCAGGCCATTTTTTTTACCAGGCTAGATTATATGGGATTATCAGTATGCATCATCATGTTTATACGTGTAGATTGACTAGTAAATACTASACAGTTTGAAAGCCCATGTAAACATCTGAAAGGTAACCTTTGTACTTCCTAAAACGGAGCAAAAACTACAAAATTTACCACTGCTCGTGGATACCCACTTGCAGCTTTGCCATGGCTAATTTTGACAGGAAAAACAGTAAAGAATACTTTAAATAATTTTGAAAACATCACATTTGTCATTTTCATTTCATTGTGTATTTGTCACTTTTGATTTGGCCTATTTTTTCACAGAGGTTTATAGTAAGTACATTTAC